CAGCTATAGTTTCCCCTTCCTGAGTCCCAAACATCACTGTTTCGAGAACAGTTGTCCCTAGGGCAGTCAGGATTAGTGACGTGGTGTGGATAACTGCACTGGTTGTTGTGGGTAGAGATACTCTCACATCAGTGATTTTGTTTAATATTGTTGGGGATATCATTGTAGCTGACTTCTTGGAGACAGTGGTTGTCATGGACCCTGCTGATGTAACGTCAATGTGTGGTATATTAAACATTGTTGGGGCTGTATTGGTGGCTGACTTCTGAGAGTAAGTAGACACTGATGTTTCCAATCCATTGACCATAGAACTTGATGCCAAGGGGCTGCAGTTGTATCTCTCTGATTCTGTTTTGGGGTCTCAGCTGAAATGACCATGCTGGATGAGGCTGTCCCTTCTTGGTCCTTCAACATAGAAGTCATGGAATTTGATGATGTTGTACTCTTAGAGGTTGTGATGATAGGTATATGTAATCTCTCCTGAATGTCATGTGTTGGGGTTGTCTGCTCAGTGGACGCAGCAGAACTGTAGGCTGGTGGTAAAATTGGAGTTGGAGCTGGTGTTGTATGGTTCTGGAACTCAGCCATTGCTGCCCTCCTGGTTGTTGGTGAAATGCTAAGTGGAACTTCAGGGACATTGTCGCTCCCATTGTTGGATAGAGCTGAGGTTGTGTCTGAAAGAACTATCTTTCTCTTAGGTGTGGAAGTTGTTTTACCTGACTCAAACCCCCAGGTTGTAATAATGCCTATAAAAACAAACAAATAGACAAAACCCAACATACCTGTTCCCTCCACCAATTTGGAGTTCTTCTCAGATGTTTTCACTTACCAAGTATTCTTATTAGAAGATTCAATAAAAATAATGTTAACACCAACTACATTATGACTGCCTCACGTTCATTTATTTGTGTGCCAGCTCTATGCTAATAGATCTCAGCTGATGCATGCCAGAGCTCAAATTTAACTAGTGCAGGCAACTATGTCTCCTTCCACTCAATGACTATTCTAAAGACGGAATCAGCAAAAGATGGAAATCTGTTATTGCAGATGGTCTTTGATTTCTTATACCTTTTTGATTTGAGTTTCCTACTTCATTGAAAATGACTCTACTATTTAAAGATATACTTTTTTTTTTTTTTTGGTACAGTGTGACCCCTAATTGCAAACTAACAGCTTCATTTAGTGCAAAAGCAGTTGAGGATAGTTTTGACATTGTTCAATCTTCACCTTGTCCAGGTAAGGTGCTGCTCCAATGTACAAGAATTGGCTCATTGAATTCTCACAACCAACCTGAGGAAATCACTATTGTTTCTATTTATAAAATGAGGAAACTGAGGCTCAGACCAGTGAAGACATTTGTGCAAGGTCACATGGCTAGGAAGTGGTGGCACTGCATTTAAAACCGAGTCCATCAGACCTCAGAACCCAGTGTCTCCCCTACTACGCCATATCGCCTCACAAAAACATAGCTTCATTCTCATGGCTAAGCCAGCCACTCTCTCTAGAGAGAAGGGCCCAGATCGGATGTGCTGAGCTGGATCCCTTGGAAATCTTCCTCTTTTCTCCTGGACAATGGGCAGAAATAGGTCTATCACTTGATGCTCTTCTTCATTGCATCCTTGGTAGTTGTCAAAGAACTAATTCAGAAAACTGGAGGTGACTGGCTCATCCTTCCCACAACCTATCCTGAGGAGGGACTGACTCTTGTCCTCAAACCTGCCCCCACCTTTCTTCTAGCCTGGTGTAGAGCTAAAGGATCACAATAGGGCAGAGAGCTGGCCAGTACACATGGAAAGAATAAGAGAATCTAGGCTCTATTCTTAACCTGCTGTGTGACCTAGTGGAAGATTCCACCCCTCTTGATGCCTCCATATCCCCCTCAGAGCAATGAGAGACATGGGCTCAATATCAGAGGAGCCCTCTAAACTTTAGTGATCCATGGGTCATTTTGCTATGAAAGTCCAGGCTTAAATGAATAGATCTCTTGTTACAGGGCCTCAAATTTTATATTAAGGGAGAGATATTTCCTTTGGATCTAATTTTGTGTGTGTGTGTGTGTTTTCTTTCCCATGTGGTTAATCAGTTGTCTATGTCTCCTTATGGAAAAGTCCATTCTTTCCCCAGCAATTTGCCATGCTACCTGTCATTATGTATCCAGACCAATTTTCATGCCCTCTTTTTCACTCTATTGGTTTGCTCACTTAACACTGTACCAATGCCACATTATCTTACTGTTACTTTAATGTAAATCTCAATTACTTGGTAGAGTCTCCCATCTTGCTCTTCAAAATTATCTTATCTATTGTTGGCCCTTTGTTCTTCCTTACATATGTTAGAATCTGCTTATCAAGTTCTATAAAGAATCCTGTTGGGATTTTGATTGGAAGAGCGCCACGATTATAGGTTTGGTGAGAATTGACATCTTTATGATACTGAAGTTTCCTGCCCATAGCATCTCCTTTGAGAAGCAATAGAGTATGGCCTGGGCTCTGAAGTCAGACCTGGGATAGAAGCCCAGCTCTGTGATGTGGGATAAATCACGTCATGTCTTTGGGATTCAGTTTCCTCAACTGTAAAACCAGGATGGCAATAGTATTCACTTCACTGATGGTCGTGAGGATTAAATGAGATAATGTACGTGAAGCATTTAGCACAGTGGTAAGCATATAGTAGGTGCTCAATAAGTAGAACCTGCTATTGGTAATAATTATCCCCTCTGCTCCTCTCCCCAAAATTGTTATCTGCTTCCTGGGTGCTTTGTCAAGGTGCTTTCCTGTCCCTGAAAAAGTAATGGACTCATGGGAGTGATGAGACATGCAATTTCCTGCCACCTCCTGACATCTTTCTCCATACTGTCCTAGGACCTGGGGATCCAGGACTGCATTCCAACCTCAGGCTTAGCGAGGCTCTTTGCTGGAGTAGGGCAGGGGAGGGCAGCAGGGGTCCAAGCCCCTGGGCCTCCTCAGTTCTAGGCCAACTTGGGAGAGAACTAGCTTGCTGAAACCCCAGACTATTGGCGTGGCCCAGATGGGAAGGACAGACAAAAAGGGGGGAAACAGTTGAGATGACCAACAAAATGGAGGGAGTAGACAGGCAAAGATAATATCCTGGAAGATGAGCAATGGATGAGCAAAGCCAGAAGGCCCTTGGAGGTCATCCCATCATGCTCCTGCCTTCAAACCATTGGTGCCCCAAGCCCTTCAGAGAATTTAGGGGTGGGGTGAGGGATGGCTGTGCTCACATCAGAGGATCTTCCTGTGGATGCTATTCAATCTTCCACCACCTTCTTTCCCTTTCTGGCCAGCCAGAAGAAGAGCTGTGAGAGCCCCCAGAGAAGGATCGATGAAAGAGTATATATAGATACTCACCAGGCAGATTGAGGGCTCTGTCCTCAATAAATAGCAGCAGCAGCAAAAGCCACTGGCTTCTCATGGCTCTGCTGGTTGATGGTCCGGGAAGACACTGGGAAGCAGTCCTAGCTAGAACAGGGAAACAACAGTGGCTCCAAGATAGTGAGGCACTGCTGGCACTGGTGCCACCTCTCACCTGCTTGCTGAGTATACCACCTCGTCCCCAGTTGTCTAGACTATTTCCCAGCAGCCCTCCGGGGGCTTTTCAGAGCTGGAAAAAGAGCTGTTGGGAAGCGCATGGAGGGTGGAATTTCCCATCAACTGCAATCAGTGGGCCTCTGGGGACACCCATTCTAATTGATAAATATCCCCAAGGTTCCTAATTGTCAGTCTTTGCTGAACAGCTGGACAGAACTCTGGGCCTTCCAGCCTTCCCCCAACCCAACACCACGAAACTTGAGTCTCAGTGACATGGCTGATCTCGTCAGTCTCCCAACTCCCTGGCCATTTGATTTCAGAGCTGGAGATCAACCTCATCCATTCCCTATTGCATAGATGGGGAAAATGAGGCCCAGTGACTTGCCTGAGGACCAGAATCCAGGTCTCCTATCCTCCAAGGCAGTTCTTCCTATTGCCCATGACTACCACAGCTTTCTCAGACTCTCTGCATTGCCTAACTCCTGAAACTGCCGTGGCTCTCAATGGTGTTTGTTGTGAAAGTCTCAAAGGGGCCTCGCAAGTCACAAGTTCCCCTCCAGATTTCATTAACCCGACCCACAAACTCTTCTCACTGTCTTCCAGTAAGCTTCAGTGCTCCTCTCTTCCAGAAAGCCTGCCAGGACCCACACTTGGTTCAGACATTCTTCCTTGCCCCAGGATGGAGCTTCTTGTATCTGCACAACTTGGTACAGAAAGCCACATCAGACAAGGGCTCCCCAGAATGAGGATCAGTCTCCTTCACCTTCAGACAAAGAGAAAGGGTAGGGCTATCTCCTGCATCAGACAGGGGTTTCCATGAGGACCAGACTTTTACCTCCAAAATTTAGGACCCTAAGAGTAGAGATTAATCTATATGATTAAGTCAGAATTGTTCTGGGTGCAGATTCTCTCTCCCATAGACTGACTCTCCCATCAAACAATCAGGCTTTTGTGGGGTAAGATCTGTCTTGCCCATCGGACCTGGGGCAAGGTTGCCCTAAGGGGTTGGGTATCCATCTGTCAGACGCATTGATCTTGACACAAAACTTTATTGTCAATACACAGATGCCCGGCCCCACTGGCCTCGCCTTTCTTCTCTCGGTGCTTGGGCCCACTTAGTCCCCATCCAGCTCTGGTCTAGAGCAGGGGGCCAGGGATGCCCTTCCTTAGGCCAAATCCTGGCTGCCTTAGCCAGCACCTCCTCTGTGCTTATCCTTGCTGTAGGGCTCCCACTCTCATCCAGCATCCTGTTCCATCCTGGCACCTCTGGACCTGGGGCTCGCAGGCACAGGCCCTAGAGATGGCTGCCACCTCCACAGCACCAGGCATCTGCCCAGGTGCAAGGGAAAAGATTGGCTCAGGCCAGGCTGAGCCAAGTCATGCTAGGGATGCAGGAAGCTGCAGCAGCTGGGTGTGTGTGTGTGCAGGCCCCTTGGCTCCGGTCCTGCCCTCTCAGCGGCTGGTCTTGTGCTTGTTAAGGAGTATATTTGTGTTAGAGTCATGAACCTGCAAACAGAGACGTCTTCTTGTCAATACCCTACCCTGACGTGGCAGACTCTTCCTTATTCTCTTCTCCAACTTCAACAGGGCCCCATCCAGGCCTCCCATGGAAGTGCTTCATATGCCTAACTCTAGCTTGCCTAGAATCCTCTCTGAACTTGGGAGCCTAGGCTGTGGACATTCACAGGCTCCAGGTCATTCTAGCCCAGTCAGATGGTGTGGGAAGAGGAAACTAATATAAGTGTGTGCCTTTTTCCCCCTAGAAACCTCCTCCCTTAGGCTTCTTATGTACCCTTGACAGGACCCAGGGATCTTTTGCCATCAGTGGGCCTAAGTATCTGCCACTAAGCCGGAACTGAGCTGGCTCAAGCCGTACTAAGAAAGGGTAGGTTTGAGGGCACTAGCGTGGCATTGGCTCAATGGGTGGGGCCTGATGGAGCCGAGTCTCTCAGAGAAGGACCATAACTCGATTGGCAGATTGGTGGTAACTGCTGGAGTGTGTGGAAGCCTAGAGGGCAGACCAGATCTTGAAACAGACAGAAACCTTGACCAATGCGGCAGAGGCTGGACTGGGCGGGGTGGCGGGGTGAGCATAGATTGGATCGGAGAAGGAAGCTGCACCTTATCCATGCTGATGAGCGCAGTGATCAAGTCTTGCTGGCAAGCCATCTCACGCAGGTCCAAGGAGGATCTGCTCTCAGTCGACAGGCTCATCGACATCTGTTTGTGCAATATCTCCTCCTCCTGCTCCTGGTTGAAGCGGATGGAGCGCACCTCCTCCACTATTCTGGGGGTGAAGGAGTGAGTGCATTCCAGGGTGGGGAAGAAGGCGGCAGCTCTCCGAACTTCTTCCCTGGTGTCCACCCACTTCATCCTGCCCCCTCACTCTGATAGAAACCCAGACAGAGATGTGTGCTCAAAACTGGAAGGTCTGGATCCCAGCTCCTCTACCAACAAGCTGGGGGGGGCCCTGGGCAAGTCATTTAACCTCTCTGGGCCTCAGGGTCCACATTATAAAATGGTGAAGACACGAGGCCAGAAGAATCTGAGGCTCCGCTCAGTCCTAACTTACAGGACTCGAGAGTACCCCCCGTACCCACTCTACCTGTTGAGTTCATCTCGTATCTCCTTGTACTGCATTAAGTTTTCCTGTATTGCCTCGAGCACCAAGCAAAAGTTGTCACATGTGTTTTCCGAGAGGTTCGACAGGGGGCCCCCCATAAGCGGTTCCTGGGGCAGGCCAGACATCTCCAAGCGGGCCACTGCACAGTGCACCAGTGGCAGCTCGTTATCATAGTACTCCTCCTCGTCACCTGTCTGGGGAAGTGGAAATGGAGAGGGAACAGAAAGCTTAGCTAGCATGCCCTTCCTCTACCCCTTCCTGCTTGGCTTCAGGGAGGGTGAGTTTCTTAGGGTACCAGGGTTCTTATGCCCCTCATTTAATCACCAGCCAATCTTAGCCTCCTTACTTTGCTGCAGGAGCTCAACTCTCTGGAAATTTTTACCCCTCTTTAAAACTTAGCTCCCTAACCCTCCACCCTTGCCACCATTTTCACTTCTGGTAAATTCTACCTGACATACTTCTAAAGCCAAATCTATCCTCAAGTCACAGCCCACAGCCCTCAACACTTTGAGAACTACTCCCTCCTCCATCTCCCCAAAATTTTGGAAGTTCTACCCCTGAATTAATAACACCGTAGCTAACATTTATTGAGTTCTTAGTATGTGTCAAGTACTCTTCATTTACCCATGTAGTTCTCATAACAGCCCTATGAGGTAAGTACTATCATGACTTCCATTTTAAGAAGAAATCAAGGCTTAGATTGGTTAAATGCCCTAAGGTCATCCAGATGCCTAGTTTTGATCTGCCATAGAAACAAGACATTTAGGATATTCACACCCCTCGGAAGCCCCAATTGTTGAGTTGGCTCGCAAGGTGGGAGATGCTGCCTCCAAGTCTCTGGCCTGGCTTTCTCCAGGCCCTTGAGTGTGTGAGCACACACACATACACATATTTTCAAATCAGCACTCACACACACTCCCTCTTTCCTCCCTCTGCCCTCCCCATCTCACTCACCTCACTGAACTGTACTTGAATCTGTTGCCCCTGCTCTGCTTTCATCATTTGCTCCAGGTTGGTGGTCACCACGACGACCAACAGGTTGATGCCAATGAAGGCACCGATGGTGATGAAGATGACAAAGTAGAGGGCACCCCAAATCTCCATTGTGTACTCCCTCGTCTCTATCCTGGAGATGGCAGGCAGGGGCCCTATCACCGCCCTGGCCCTTTGAGCCTCAGTTTCCTCATCTATGAAATGGGGAAATTATCTCAAGGCCTACTGGGACTTTTGCTGCCTCACTGCTGTTATGCAGATCTAATGCCCATTCCTAATTGTCACAGCAGCTGCTCTTACTGAGCACCTGCTGTACTGCCAAACAGTGGGGTACTCAAGCCAACTCTGCAAGGTAGGGATTTGTACATCAGCATTATCGAATTTAATCTATTGACTATATTCTTTATTCATGTTTTTCTTATTATAAAAAGTAATTCAAGCTCATTATAGAAAGATCAGAAGAAAAATATATAGGAGACAAATCTCACCCACTCTTAATACCTGTTATAAATCTCCCACAAAATATTTTACCAAATAATAGTTCTCTCTCTTTCTCTCTCTCTCTCACTGCGTGTGTGTGTGTGTGTGTGTGTGTGTGTGTAAACTGTGTCAAGCTCTATGCTAAGAGATTTATATAGATTTTCTCTATTGATCTTCACAGCAACCCATGACACAGTTAATATTGTGTTATAATCCCCAATTGATGGATGAGAAAACTGAGGCTTAGAAAAGAGATAAAGTAATTTACACAAGGTTGCATGGCTAGTGTGGTGGAGCAAAGACTCAAAAGTCCAGTCCACCTTTGTTGGGCACTCTATGGTTTCTCCACTACCTACATCATAATGGATAATGACAGCAGAAGCCCTTTACCAACTGGGCTTCTACTCTCACATAAAGGGGATAAAAAGAACTCAGTCAGGGGGACTCACTCTCTGGAGTGGACTGGAAACAAATAGGGTTTAGATTTAATGGGCAAGAGGTAAAGAACAGAACCCAGGCAGCCATCTAGGACCAAAAATGACCTTGGTCAGTGGGTCTTAGAATAAATGAAATGAGACCCTAAGTTCCTAGAGGTCTAGGCTTGGTGGTCTCCAGTGTGGACTGGAAGGCTGCCCTGAGACCTAGTGCAACCACAGATGGCTCCCTTGCCCAAGGTCTGGCTATCCAACTGTTTAGCATGATGAGAGAAATTTCCATGAATAGGCCTGTGGTGGTACTGTGGTGGAGTTTCAAGGGAGACAAGGCTTCAAGTAGCCCACAAACCCAGAGGTCCCAGCCCTAGAGGTCTCCCTTCCTCCAGTGTAAAGCCCCAGGTACCCTCTTCCTGCTAGGCCATCCTCATCCCCAGCCCCTGAGCTCCACTCCCACCCAGAGCCCTTTTCCCTCCCCAGTCAGTATTTTGCTGCATGGGAGCCCAGCCCCTGCCTTGCTTGGCTGGGCTAGGGGCCCAGAAGCCCCACGGGGACTCACTGAAAGTTATCGTAGATGTCCACCCAGCCATCCTGGGTGATGCAGATGAAGAGGGTGTACAGGGCAACCTGTATGTTCTGGAAATGCGTGGGCACAAATGCACCAAAGAGAGTGACCCCAAACACGGAGAACATCTGTCAGAGAGACCAAAGACCCACCTTGACTTCACCCAAGAGCCTTGGAGACAGGACATGCAAATGCCATGCAAATGAATGTTGCCAAGGGAATCACAGGGATTCAGGCCCATAGGTCTCTCCTCTTCTCCAGACACCCCTATATTCCCAAAGACCCTGGGCCTGTTCAGGGAAGGGCAGCAGCTGGGGGTGAGGGAGGGCACTGACCAGCATAAAGAAGAGGATGAGGGCCATGATATTGGTCATGTCGGGCACCGACTGCAGGATGACACGGATGATCCGGGCCAGGGGCTCCACTGCCATGCACACATGCACTAGACGAAGCACCCTGTGGGAGAGCCTCTCAGGGGTGCCCCTTGGCCCTTCCCAGACCCCTCCTCCTCATTGCCACCCAACCCACACAGGCAGAACTAATCCCCAGCTAATAATACCCCCCCTTTCCCAGGGTCCCCTCTTTTCTCCAAAATTCCAAGCTCACCTGAGGGTGTAGGTGATAGAGATGATGTTGAGTTCATTAATGAAGAACCCCAGAAGCAAGATAAAGATGATAAGGAAGTTGAGGATGTTCCAGCCGTCCTGGGGAGGCGGGGCCAGCCCCAGCGGGGTCTGTCAGGCCCAACCCATGGGGACATCCTGGGTCTGGTGTCCCCATACCCTAAGGATGGGGGCTCAATGTTCTTCTCACAGCAGGGTCAGTCATCTGCTATCCACTGCTGTTTACTCATCCTGCTGCCCCCAAAACATGCCACCCAACATACATGCACTCACTGTCTCATACATGTGTTAATAGCCAAGTGCAGTCTCAGAGACACACGGTAGAGATTCACATACATATAGCTAACTCCTAAACTGAGCATCCACCTTGACTAAGGCAGTGCTGAAAATGGCTTTGTCCTACAGTTAAGTGACACGAGAGTTTGGATGCTCCAGCTTTTGTATGACACACATTCCAATTAATAAGAAAATTAAAAAAAAATACTAATACAAACATTAAATACCATTGCTTCAGTAGCCAGTTCGGAGGTAAACTAGCTCTCACTGTACAAGAGAAACAGAAAATTTTTACAAGTCCTTTATCTAATAAGGGACAAACTCATCTAGAAGTGGGAATGGGGGAAGGTGTGGGAATGGGGGAAGGAAGGTCACATATATGAAAAATTCAAGCACAACTCCCAAAGAGGGGAATTTGCTCTAACAAATAAGAGAAGCATTTACCTTTTGACTAGTGATCCCACTTCTAGAAATCTGACCCACAGAAACTCTGATACAAGCACAAAATGATATTTGTATAAGGTTGAAAACAACCGAAGTGTCTAGCCATTGGACCCAGGTTGAATAAATTATGACACAATCATTTCAATGGAGGACTGTGTAGCCATAAAAAGAAAAATGAAAACATCTCCATGTACTAACACAGAAAGTTTGCCGAGATCCTTTAAGTGACAAAAGCAAAGTGCAGAACAGTGTTTATAGCATGCTACTGTTAGAAAAGGGAGGACTAAAAATATATACACATTTGCTTATGATTGCAAAATAAACACTGGGAGGATAAACAAGTGACTATAAATATACAAAGATTATCTAGAGAGGGTTGGGGTGGGGAGAAAGGGATGAAAGGAAGGAGTGAAAGCTAGAACTCTGTGTGTACTTTTCAGTATAGTTTTGACCAACATGTATCTGTATTAAATATTCAAAAATAAAACTTTTTAAATGAAAAAAATGTTCTTAAATTTATTGGGCAGTCCAATAAACACAAACTCTCCTGGTGGGTGTCCCACATTCAGAGTATCTGTGTCTACACATACACAAGGAGACACAAGTCTACCTGCCTATGGATCCATCCCTCTATCCATCCAGTAGTAAGCTCTACTATATGCCAGACCCTGAACTGGATTCTGAAGATACAGGATTTCTGCCCTGCTGGGCTTACAGATTATTTTATTTTGAAAAAGGTCATCAGGCAGTAAATTTTAACTCAAGGTAAGAGAGATAAGTACATAGTATTAGGAAGACACAGAGCAAGATGTAACCTAGCCTGGGAGAGACAGGACGACTTCCTGGACGAGAGGACATCTGAATGAACCTTAAGCTGTAAGTAGGAGTAAAGCAAGTAAGTAAGTGGCAGGGAGCTTATGTAAACTAGGGGTCAGTGTGGACAAGGGTGTGGAAGTGAGAAGTAGCAGTGAACGTGTGTGTGCGTGTGTGTGTGTGTACGTGTGTGTACGTGTGTGTACGTGTGTGTGTGTGTCTTGGGGAATGCAATTACAAGCAGTTTGATGTAGCTGGAACATAAAGCGTGGGGCCAAGAGTGATGAGGCTGCAAAAATAAGCAAGGGTCACATCACAGAGGCCTTAATTAAGCACAATAAGGCATTTAGACCTGATCCTATAAACCAGCGGTCCCCAACAGTTTTGGCACCAGGGTCTGGTGCGCCTATGAGAATCTAATTTCTGATGATCTGAGGTGGAGCTGAGGTGGTGATGCTAGCACTGGTGAGTGGCTGCAAATACAGGTGAATCTTCGCTCCCTTGCCTGCCACTCACCTCCTGCTACACGGTCTGGTTCCTGACAGACTACAGACTGGTACCTGTCCGCAGCCCGGGGGTTGGGGACTCCTGCTATAAACAATTAGGAGCCACTGGGGTATGTTAAGGATATTTTGGCTTGTGCCTTAGGAGGATTACTTTGATGGGAGGTGGGAAAACAGGAAGCCATAGCAATATCCTGGTAAGAGAAGACAAGAGCTAGAAGACAAGAGCTAGAAATTTGAGAAATATTTAGGGGATGAAATAGTGATTGATAGTCTGTGGAGGTGAGGAGGAGGGAGTCACATGAGCGCTATAGAAAAGAGAGAGTTGGGGACAAAACTGGGTCTCTATGTGGCTGGGTAATATTTGAGTTATTTACAGACTTTGCTTCTTTCCTTGTATTTTCCCCTTTCCCTTCCCTCACAACTCTCCTCCACCACACCCATGCAACGGGGAGCAGGCTTTGTGCACCAGGACCCAGGGGACACGACTGGGGTGGAGGAGGAGGAGTCAGAAGCAGCTTCTAACAAGCCCTGGCTTTTGGCACTGGGAACCTGACCCCGGATGAAGGTTAAGATTTGGGACATCAGTTCTCAGACAGGGTGATTTTGCCCTCCAGGGTAAATTTGGCAATTTCTGAGGACATTCTATGTTGTCACAACTAAGAAGGTGTTAATGACATCTAATGGTGAGGCAGGATAGTTACCCTAGGAAAGTTCTCTTCTCTCCAAAATACAGCTGTGGAATTTTGCCTTAGTCCCTTACTCAGCCCTCTCCCTATTTTGATTTCAAGCTGAGACTCTACCATGAGAAACTAGCCAAGACCAGGAGGCAGGATGGATAGCCCTGAGAAAACAAAGGTATGCGATTCAGACAGCTCGGGGAAGACTCTCTCTCTGAGCTGCCCTCGCTTTTCTCTTAAGCATGTACTTTTGGTTTAATAAAATTTGCGCTTTCCTGCTTGCTGTTTGTCATGCCCTTGAATTCTTTTTTGGGACATAAGACAAGAACCTGGTCACTGGACTCCTCTTTGGACTCCTACCCACGTTGAGCTCTCCGGCATCAGTGAGAAGATGCCAGGAATGCTGTTAAATGTCCTGCAATGCATAGGACAGTCCCTACGACAAAGGGCCATCCAGCCCAAAATGCCAATATTTATAGCGCTGAAGTTGAGACATCCTGGTTTAGGGGACAAGCAGAAGGGCTCAGAGAAACACAAGATCCTCAGGCTTGCTTCAGTTCTCCTATGCTAACAAACATCGGAGCTCAGCCTTGAAAGTACAGGTACCTAACTGCTGCTGAAAGAAATCTCAGGACGATGTGAAGGAGGAAATGTTCCCTCTTACAAACAGATGTCTGCCTGTGTCCGGGAGCTAGTTCTGATAAAGGGGTGTATTAAAATCTTCACAAAAAGCATGGTACCTGCTCTCCTTCCAAGTGTGGAGACATGTAAATATGAATCATCTTATTCTTTTTTTTCTGTTAATAAACATCCTTTCAAGTATCGTTTGCCCAAAGTGGTCTTCTAGATACCCAGACTTCAGAATTTTGGTTCTAGATTCCACATTCTGCGTACTACAAAGTGAAACTTCTAACCCGTGGAAAGCTTATAACTTTAATTGGTTGTTCTAGTAACTATATTTAAATGATACTTCCTCTTTATGAACGAGCTTTTTTTTTTTTCACCTGGGATAGTTTTCTTATTTTTCTTTTTTTAAACCTCTTCACTAAAATGCCCAAAGGCAAAATAAATCCTTGGCTCCTGAAGTCCTATTCAAACAAAGAGTTTGAGTCTTTGTCTCATTAATATAACTTTCAGACCCTTTTCCATCCAGACAGCTTCTTGATACTCTCCAGAATGAGGGCCAGCAAATTCCAGCCCAGGAGTCAAATCTGACCAGCAGCCCTTTTTATATAAGACCCTCAGGCTAAGAATGATTTTTATATTTTCAAATGATTGCGTGGCGGGGGAGGGGGGCGGTGTTAGGAATCAAAAGAATAATATTTAGTGACACATGTAAATTATATAAAGTTCAAATTTCAGTGTCCATGAATGAGGTTATTTGCAGCACAGTCATGGTCATGAGGCTGCATGCTGTCTATGGCTGCTTCCTGATCCCACAGCAGCGGGGAGTGTTTGCAACAGAGACTGGATGGCCCACAAATCTTAAAATATTATCCGGTCTTTTACAGAAAAAGTTTGCTGACTCTTTTTCTTGAACCCTTTAAATTAAGGTGGTTGCTCTCGATCTCATTTCTTAGTTAAGGAAATCAGTGTTTTCCCAAGATCACAGAACAAAGGAAGGCTGGAGCAGGGACTGGAACCTAGGGAGGCTGCACTTCTAGTACAAGTCACTTTCTGCATTACAGACATCTCAGAAGTAGTCAGTCTCTCTGCAAACACACACACACACACACACACACTCACACACACACACACACACACACACACAATTTGCAGGGCCAGGAGCACAGGAGTGGGTCCTGAGTGGGGTACAGTTGCTAAGTAGGAGTAGGGGTGATGGCAGGGAGGGGCTAGGATCTCACCTTCCAGAAAATCCAGAAGCCATTAAACCAGCCGAGGAGAACCTCACAGATAAGGATGGTCAACACAATGTCATCTATGGTAGAGAACAACTCATAGTGTTTCTACATGGAAGACAGAGAAAAAGAGAGGGGCGGAGAGGTCAGTGGAGCGGGGCCTAGGAGGGGCAGAGAGAGAGGACACTTGCAGGGGCGACCTGCTGCTCCCATCCTCAGCACCTTCATAGCACGCTTCGAGCTCACTTTGCATGCACGTGCCAGACACCATGCATCATTTCATGCTACCATCACCATTGTCCTACGAAGTAGGTTTTAGTCTCGTCTTACAGATGAGAAGAAATTAGAGAGGCCCTCAAGGTCAGACAGTTAGCAATAAGGATTGTTGCCTGACTACAGACCTTTCCTCCTAACCTCTAGAGTAGAGATATTTGTGAAAAAGAGGTAGGGGAGAGGCAGAACAGGCTCCAAGACTCGGAGAAAAGGATGGAGGACACCAAGCCCCATGCTTCCTTCTTTGGTTGTTCCAACCATTTCTGGTGATTCAGCTCCCCGAGTCCCCTAGACCAGGCCCCACTGAACTCCTGGGTGTTCCCCACTTCATGGGTCCAGGACATGTTTTCTGAAGGGATGGATCGATGGCTGGATGACTTGATGACTTTGAATAGTTTAAACCCAAACTCACTTTCACCCAACCTAGATCCTATTCCCTTAGCTCCCATTAAACTGTGATGCCATTATAGTCTGTGACCCTATTAACAGCTCCCAGCCCCCTGAATCCACCCAGGCAGTTACCAAAGTCACCTGAACTCCTCCCTTTCTTCACCTTCATGGCCAACAGACTCTGCCACAAGTCTTGCTGCCACACATGGAAGCCTCCTACTACCCACATCTTGCCACCACCCCTATCCACTGGCAATGCGAGGCTGGACAGAGTTTCTTAAACCCAGAGGGGAGGTTAAGGTTTATGGGCTCTCTGCTTGTTCCAAACCATTTCTGGGCCAGGGATGTCAGCCTACAACAAAGAAAAGTTTTCTGTTCCCTCACGTGTCCTCTCAGCTCCCCACCCCTGGGCACTAGAGTCAATAGTGCCCATTTATAGAAAGAGCTTCCTAAATAGTCCTCCTGCCTTCTCTAAGTCATGAACATCTATGGCTAAATCAGAGTTGCCTTCTCTACCCACAAGACTTCCATGGCTCCCTAAGGTTCAAAACCAGTCTGGCATTCGCAGGCCTCTAGGATTTGAACTCATGGACACATTCTATACCAGGGCTTTCAGCATTTTTGACTGGGACCCATAGTAAAAAATATATTTTACATTTTACAACATAATGCTCCCTTTCTCTCTCTCATCTCCTTCAACATACATATATGCAGACAATTTCCATTTCATTCTTTTTCATTCTATATCACAATGTTGGCATCTGCACTCTGAATCGATTTCATGATCCATCAATGGATGTGATCTGCCCTCCTGTCTACTCATTCTGCAAACCTTAGCAATCGGGTTTCTGCCTCCACCACAGCAGAGGCAGCTCTCATCAAGGTCACAAAGAGCTAAATCCAAGGGATACTTTATAGTTCTTATTGCCTTGTCTCTTAGCCACATCTGCCCTTGTGCCTGCTCCTCTGACAGTGCACTCTCCCGGTTTCTTCCCACCCCTCTGGCACCCTTCCTCAGCCTCCCTGTGCACCTCCTCCTCCACTTTCTGCCCTTTACTTGGATGCTCTCCTCAGAGCTTTGTCTTGACCTCTTCTCACTCAAATTCTCTCTCCCCAGGCAACCTCGTCTATTCCTTTAGCTTTGGCAACCATGCACTCAGATGCTGGCAACTCTCATGTCACCATCTCCATTCCAGTGCTCTCTGTGGCATTTTAGAGTTGGCCTCTAACCCTTCATTAGACATCTCTGTATGGATATTGCATGGGCATCTCAAACACTGTACAACTCAAACTGACTTCAGCATCCTCCCCAAACCTGCTCGTTCTCCAATGTCCCCATGTCCCAACAAACAGCCCCATCCCCACACAGTTGCTTAAGCCAGAAATGTAACTTTTTGCTCTCCTTTTCTCTATGTGCATGAGATGATGATGGATGTTTAACAAGGCAGCATGTGTAAGTGCTCACAAGGTGTTTGATATAAAGAACATCAATCTGGAAGGCCCATGGATTCTACTCCTAGGGAGCTTCAGATGCATGTGGTCTCTTTTTATCCACTGCCCTTGTAATGGTCCAAGTACCATCATCTTCCACCTGAATATTCCCAGCAAAGTCTTGCCTACTCCATCTTTCCCCAGTCTTGACACTTTTCCTTCCATGGTCCACATTGTGGCAGCCAGTGTGAGTTTTCTAAAACACATGTCTGGCCATGTCGCTTTCATGCTTTAAACCCTTCCCTGGCTTTCCAATGACGTAGGATAAAGACCATCCTCCTTAACATAACTTAAAGACCCTGCATGATTTCTCTGTTGACTACCTTTCTCAAATCATCAGCCACCACATTGGACATTTTAAAAATATTGATTTTAAATAGCACAATCTATGTATGTAGTATACTCCTTGTAAGACAATGAAACGTCGAGAATAAGACCAAAGTCATACTAGACTTCAAGTTGGACACATAAAACTCACATGCTATTTCTTCTGTCTCAAACACTCTTCCTCACCTCTCTCAGCCTGGCCAACTTCTACTCAATTTTTATTCTCAGCTTAATTGTCCCTTTCTCCAAGAAGCCTTCCACGAGACTCCCCCACCCCTGCCATATCAGGTTTGATGTCTTCTTTGAGCTCCCACATCCTCTGACACTCAGACATTTATAATGACATGTTCGTGTCTGTCTGAGACAGAACTGAGTCTGTTGTGTTCATACCTGGAACCCTGGAACTGAGCACAGTGCCTGGCACAGAGTGACTGTTGGTTAAAATGGGATACCTTTTCCTATAAGGCATCCATTTGTCTGCCTCTGCTCACACCATTTTTTTCCTGCTCTTCCTACAAATGCAATGCATTCCTCAAAGCTGCCCTCCCCACCACCACAATGTCTTCCTTGATCTCTAGACCCCTGGAAGGTCAGAGCTGATAGGCCCCTGAAGAGCAGCTAATCCAAACATCATGAAGACAGTTGAGGATCCTGAGGCCCAGAGGGGAAGTGCCTTGCTGAAGCCCGCATTAGATCAGTAGGGGCAGAGGTCAGGCTGGAGTCCCACCTGGCCAAGGATGGAGTTGGTGCGAAGCGCGATGGTGATGGCGTTGACCACCAGCAGCACGGCCAGCAGCAGCTGGAAGGCCGGGTGTCTGAGCAGCCGCTTGATGTACATGCGAGTGATGAACTCCTGCATGTCCCAGGCATCCTGGGAGAGGACGACGGACCTTCCTTCAGGCAGGTGTCACGGTAGGAGGCCTCTGCCTGGATGTTTGCTCTCTGTAAATGGGGGTCCCTGGGGAGCCACTATAGGAGGGGGGGGAAGGGGCCTAAGAGAGGATCATGGATTGGGGGCATCAGTATAGAGGTCACTACCTAGAAAGGTCACTGCTGGGGGATCTTTGTGGTGGTCATTGCAAGGGAGACTCTTTTAGGGTCTCTGCTGCTGAGTGATTGCCGTTATATAGGAATTCCTATGGGGGGCACTGACAGGAAGTTACTAACTTGACTGTAGGGATTATTGCTGGGGAGTATCCTCTGGGGTGGGACATTTAGAAGGCAGAAGGGACAGAGTTATTATGAGGCCTATTGCCCTATGGGTGCAGCTGCAGAAGGGTCACCTGTGGGAGTGAAGGTGGCTGCAGCAAAGCCTCGTCCTTACCTTTTTGCTAGTGATATCTTGGCGGTTGATGAGCACTTGCTCCTCTGTCCGGAAGTAGGTCTCATGAGTGGACCTCTGCAAGGGTGAAGAGAGGTCCTTTCAGTGTAGCCACTGCCCCTCTGGACCCAGTATGGTCTTCTTGTGCCCCACGTGACCCCGGGATGCCCAGCATAGGAGGTGGAGCCAGGCAGGGGCCACCTACCATGACATTCAAAGGTTTGATATTGGTAGTCAGTCCACTGCTGCCACCAGTTATCTTTCATAGTCTCTTAGTCTCCTCCCACTCTTCAAAGAAATTCCATTCCAAGCAGTCTTGCTCCCCCTCGTGGCGATATCATAGAGGCCTCTGTGACCTCCAGTCATCTGCATTCCACCAAGGAATTCCATTCTCGAGAGAAGCTCCTCTCACTGAAACCCCTTGGTATTCCACAGAGGAAGACAGGGATACTAAGGAGCTTGGCTGGGGTCAGAGGTCAGAGGCCAATGGGAGCAAGTCAGTTAGTTCTCCTTTACAGCCTGGATAGAAACACAAGTGTGTCCCTGCTCTGATCTTGGAGCTGGAGATGAGATTGGGCTAAGGAGAGGAGAAAAATATTTCACCTCAGGACCCTCCTCCCAGCAGAGCACAACCTGCACCCCTCTCCACTGGTCACCCCATCCTACCACCTTTTTTTCCAGGAGCCCGCCCTGCCCTTCTATGCAAGGTATGTTCTCCATCTAGAGAGTGTAAGGCTGGTCTTTATTTCTTACTTTGTCCCTCTGGGGATGGGGCAGGAGAGCACTCTCTGGTCTCCAAAGGGCTGGGGACAGAGTAAAAGCCCTCATGAGCCATGGATGAGCAGTCCTCATCCCAGATGGTGGGAGCTCCAGGTACATAGCCCAAGCCAGCGGGCCACCCAGTGGGCTAGTTACCAAGAAAATTCACCCCTGACAGCTTTTCATCCCGGATTCCCTGGGAAGCAGATTCTTGATTCTAGTACGAAAGTCAAAGGCACACGTAGACCCATGTTGGAGAAATTGACTTTATTTGATTGAAAACTATCTCTTCTGTAAAGTGAAAAACACCTGTATAGACCGGTTTGGGGTGGTGTGGGGAGAAGTGTCAAGGGACTGAGGTGGGCAAGACGTATGAGAGAGAGTTTCTGTCAGCCCAGTCTCTCACTCCTTCATTGGAAGGGCGGCGGGAGAGGCTGGCACAAAGCTCACGTTAACCCAATCCAGGGGAGAGGGGAGCAGAAATGATAGACACTCAGGCAGAGGGGTCAGCTTGGGGTGAAACCATAGACTAGTTCTACTTCCAACCTTGAACAGAACCCAAAGATGCTTTGTCCTAGACACGTCAGAAGCTGGGGGTGGAGCTGGCCCTCAGGGCCAGAGATCAGGAGCTCAGGTACTGGCCAGGGTCAGAGGCCAGGAGGTCTGGGATCAGGGGGCAGAGACGGAGTGCTCCTCAGAGTCAGAGGGCAGGGAGTGGGAAGACTGTTCTCTGGAGTCAGAGGTCAGGACTTGGGAGCTGCCCTCAGCCTGCACCACTCCCCAGGCCCCCAGGCCCTCTGAGTAGAGATCCTGGTTCTGTTCCTTCCACCGTCGGAACTTCTCTCCAGTCAGCTCAGGGTCGCCTAGCACTTCCTCCAGGGCCTGCAGCTCCTGCAGCTTTGCCTGTGAGGGGAGAAGGGGCTAAGGGGCCATGATCACCCAGGGAGGAGGACAGAGCCTAGAACCCAGCACCTGGCCTAGTCTAGCCTCAATCTTCATCAAGAGCCTGGTTTCAGGAACCTAGAACTTAGCCTAGTGCACAACTGAGCCCAGAGCCGCGGGCCAGGAACCAGAGACAAAAGCCCAGAACCCTGCCATGCCCAGTGCCCTCCAGCTGACCTTGAGTGTGCTCTGCAGCATCCGCACATGGTGCACTCGTTCATTGAGCCTGGGGTCGCGGTTGCGCCGCATGAAAGAGCTCCGCCACTGTTCATGAGTGAAGGGCTGCGGCTGACCCAGGAGGGACACACCGCCCTGCCTCAGCCCCTGTACCATTCCTTCCAGCGCCCCTTCACTGTTATCTGCGAGAGGGGTAGGGAAGATGAGGGTGTGAGGCTGTGCCCGTCCCAGCCCAAGCCCTCCATCTCAGCTCTGCTCCCTGCCAGTACAGTGCCTGTTGGAAGGTCGAAGGAGGTCGGTGGGCTGCCCCGTGTGGGGGTGGCTGCAGGTGATGTTTCTCCATGGAATGAGCTCCAAGCTTGGGCTGAGCTGGGCTGCGGGCAGGGTGGAAGGAGAGGAGGTTATCAGTCTGAGCTACATACACTACATGCCCTGCTATTCACCCCCTACCAGGCCCCTACTCACCGAGGCTGAGCGGGACCCAGCCTCATCGTCAGGGTCTTCTGCTTCTGTCTCACTGTAGCAGTCTGGGTTGGACAGGAGCAGTTGGGAAACTCACTAAGTTTCACGGGGTTTTAAGAAGGCAGGAAGTAGGCTAGGATATTTGAGTTCCCAGCCTCCATCCCGGGAAAGGTAGAGGCTCAGGTGAGACCTGGTGAGACCCGTCCCTGTGAGACACCCACCTTCCTCTCGGGGTAGGGAGCCACGGCCTGGAGACTGGTACTTGGAAATGCACGTGATAAGGTGGCGAACCCACCTGTGGAGGAGCAAATGGGTCTCGGGGAGTTTCCATTTACTGTATGCCAAGGGCCTTTCCCCTACATCTTCTAATTTAATTCTCAGAGCAAATCTGAGAGGTAGGAACTCTTATTAGCCCATTTTATAGATGATGAAACTGAGGCTTAGAGAAGTGAATGCCTTCATCAACCACTATCAGAGAGCTGGGATTTGAATCCAGGCTCCCAAGCACTCATGTGGGAGTTGGGGGGTGAGGAAGGTGGCACTCACATGCTCAGATCCGTCAGAGTATCAGCAGCAAAGATGAAGGGTTTGTACATATCATGGGTGAGCTGGAACACACTGCCAGGGAGCAGAGGGGCCTCACTCAGCCTGAGTATGCTCACCCAAAACCCAGAGAAGTTGCACTGGGAATTCCAGCCCTCTGCTGTCCCCACCCTGCCCCTTCTTACATCTTCCTTTCTCTCCCCCCAACTGCCCCTGGCTGTCACACCCAAGACTTAACTATTTTTTCTTCTGATCATGTCCACTTTCCAGGCTATAGTTGGAGACATTGATGAGGCCCTCGGCCTTCTCATCCTGGGGAGATCACAGTGAGGGACAGCATGAAGCCTCAACGCCCTTGAGGCTCAGTCAAGGTCCTGAGGACTCCTCCCCCAGGGTGCATCTCCTAGCTTCTCTAGCCACAAACCTTTCTGTGTCTGGAGCTCAGGGCAGGGATCTGGGTGGGGCAGAGGGTGTGACCAAGGGGTGCTTTGAGCCAGGAAAGGGGAGCAAAGAGATCCAGAGAAATGGCCACAAAAGAGGAGACTGCTGATGCATTTATTCCATCAATAGACACAGACGAAGCTGCTTCATACCACTGAGCTCTGCAGACACTTTTCCCTTTCAATTTTCTTTTTCCTTTCCATCTGACTGACCCCCAGGCATTCATTTCTCAGGAAGACTTCGCACTCCTTTGCCTGGACTGGCCATCTCTGTGGGTTCCCATCCATTCTCTGGGCTTTTCCTTTGTCATAGCATGTGTTCCCCACACTGTCCTCTACTGTGTATTCATTCCCTCCCCCATCAGCCTGGAGTAGCAGGAACTGTCCAAGTTTTCTCCGTGTCCCCAGTACCCAGCCTGGAGCTGGATACATGGTAAGCATCTGAATGCTTGATGAATAAACAAACAATTGAACAAATGACCCATCGTTAGGATGGTCAGAAGAACAGAAGGAAAGGTGGTCAGAATAAAAATGATTCTCTATACAGTCTACACTTTCCCAGACTGCTTTTTCACACATAGCAGCTCATTTCTCTCTGAAGAGTGTCCTTGTCTTTCTGGTAGGAACGCTGTGGCTCACAAGGGTCTGTGGCCCACCTCTCACCACAGATGAGAGTGGATGGAGGAGTAGGGACAAGAATTGTGACCCGGAGGTGACACATTTGCTTACCTCTGTGTGTATAGGGTCTCACCTGGGGCTGGCGGTACCAGTAGAGAGTGTGTCCCTTGAGCACAAACCAGCAGCGGCGCCAGCGTGGGCGCATGAAGCCACTGGGCACCTTGCGTAGCAGGAGCCATCCGTCACAGTCTGGCTGGCCCAGCTCCCGGCAAGACACCCGCCGGCGACTCAGCCGCGTAGCCACACCTGCACCAGCACAGCATGGCCGGTTGGTGAGGGGCTGGCAAGGTGTCTCAGACCTCCAAACCTGCTCCCTTGCTCCCCACCAGCATCTCAGCTAATATTTCTGAACCCATACTCTGTGCTTGGGAGGTTGCATGTGTCAGCTCTGGGGTGTGGATGATGACTCTTCCCATTTTATAAACAAGGAAACAGAAGATCAGAAGACAAGCTATTGGCTAAAAGTCACCGAGCTGGTGAGAGACTGGAAGCACAGGTCTGTCAGACCCCAGAAGGAGAGCTCTTTCCAGGAGAGCCTGTGTCAAACATAGAGGGGGTGGTCTTGCCTAGCAGAGTAAAGACTTCTAAGACCTCTTCATACTGGGGGACCCCCCCACCCAGTCAGATGCATCTCATACCTTTTGATTTCTTCTGACCAGGAACAGGATTCTGAAAGAACCATAGTGGGTCAGAGAAGGGTCTGGGTCCAGAGCCACCCCCTCCTTGTTGAATTCCTGAGCTTACCTTGACAAGGTCTTCTGGGGGTCTCTGAGTCTCTGCTGCCTCTGCTGGGAGTGTGGCTGGGAGTATAGGCGTGATGGACATGGGCTTGGGGTCAAGGGAGGCAGAATCTGTCAGGGAGCCGGTGGTCCATGAGGCTAGCCCCAGGCCCAGTAATAGGATGGGGTACCAGAGTTCAGGGATCAGAGCCAGGTACCCCACATACCTTGCCCAGAGCATCCACCACCTGGTGGGGCTTTGAAACTACCTGTTGAGGAAGGGCTGGGCCCAGGACTCGGGTTTGAAGTCAGGCCAAAGGCAAAGACATCTTTGGATGGGGCCCTGGGGAGAACAAAGGGAGATGAGATGGGCCCACAGCTCCCCCACCAAGATGCAACCAGAGCAGAACCTGTTACCTGGGAGATGGTGAGGCCAGAGCTGGCGATGGGACCTTTAGCTGTGGGGAGTCCAGGGCCTGAGGAGGAGTCTGGGGAACAAACAGAAACAGGGTGATGGAGCTGGCAATAGGAGTCTGAAAGCAGGCTGGGGGGCAGGGTTGGACGGCCAGTACCTGTGGCAGGGACTCTGGCACCGGGACCTTCTTCAGCACTAAGCTGACCCCAGTTGGCTCCCGCAGCAGCTCCCTCACCACATTCTTATGGGCCCAGCCCACCTGAGGGACAGGGCAGGGCAGGGACACTGGATCAAGCTGGGCAGGAGGCTTCGAAGCAACCCCAAAGCCCTCTCCCTCAGGGCACTCTCTCAGCCTCCTGCTCTGCCTCACGTCTTTTTCTTCCAAGAAGCCCCCACGAGCTCCTTCACCAAGGCTCTGCCAAAGCGGCTCTGACCTGTGTGAGCGGGCTCACTTCACCTAAGGCAGCTCCCACTACTCTGGTCTCCCCAAGGGTCCCTTCCACCCAACAGCCCTGGGTTCTACTTAATAACCTCTTCACTCCCACCATGTCCCTCTCCTCCTCACTCACCACCACCTGCTCGTTGACCTGGACAATCTCATCTCCAGGCAAGATCTGCAGCGGGAAGTCGGAAGGGACCTGGTGTAGGGAGTGGGGCTCAGAGGGTGTGCCCTCCTGGGCCTGAAGCTGGCTTGGCTGGCAGGTAAGAGGGTCTTGGGGGTGGGCAGCTGAGAAGGGTGTGGGGCTCTCACCTGGGTGCCCACTCGGGACACGAAGTGCAGGCAGTTGTTTGTGGTGTGGATCTCCAGGCTCTGCAGAGGTAGAGGCTGCAGTCATTGAAGGTGTGGGGGTAGCAGGGCCAGTGGGCAGAGCTTCCACTGTGCCCTCAGATTCTTGGGTGGGCAGA